TATACTGCATAGAAAAATTTCATCGCAGTGCATAGAATTTGGAGTGCAAGTTAATTTATCAGCTTGTTACAAACGAGATTTATATACGTGTGCATCAATTTAGTTTCTCTATTTTCAAAGAGGTTCGTAAAACACTAGTGGCATAAATATTTCGCCATATACTTACACTCTAAGGCCCATTTTAGTAATTCGTTGTTGAAGTCGCTCGGCAATTCCAGGGTCTCAGGATCCCGCAGTGCTCGCATCCTCTCCACGAAATCGCTGGCTATCTCGCTGATCTGCTCCACGTGCACTTTGATTATTCGCGGTTGCAGCATGAACTGATTAACTTTTGATCGAATGTCTTGCCATGCTTTACCCTGACTGTAAAAAAGGCGAGCGGCTTTCTCAACGATATACGAAACATAACATCGTACGCTATTAATGTACCTATAGATTTTTCCCAATCACGGAATTTAACTAACGTTTTTAATTTAAAATTTTTTTTTTAAGAAAAGGGAAGTGTTTTTACTATCGCGTTTTCGTGTACTATGAAGAGATACAGTTAAGAATCAAGACATAGTCATGTATCTTGTAAGAAAAAGGATCTGTTGTCTTTCTCCCTTGATAATTACATTCCTTCCAATCTACATTCTACTAACCTTGTTGTGATGCCGTACTGCCCGTTGTAGATATGTTCCCTGTTCTTGCGATAGTAATGTAGAGTTTCCATAGTAATCCGCACCGGCCACTTGCCTTCCACCCGATACATTTTTTTGCACAGCTCCGGTGAGAATAGAAGGATGGTCGGTCGACGAAATCCTATCTTGTCCAATTTAACGATATCGCCGTACTCATCACGCAACATCCGTAATTGCGTTGAAACATCTTCCCTAGCATATTTACCTGCATCGTTTACACGTATACGCGAATTGATAAACAGAGGAAATATATTACGTTTGAACAATCGATACACTTGTTTAATATATATAACGCAATAATTATTCAAAATGCAAGTTGACATTCTCTTAAATAAATTTCTCGATATATTTATAAATCATATCGCGGCTATATATATGCCATCAATCGACATCTGATCTGATTTAAATATCGTAATTAAGTATTTGAACTCGAATAATCAAATAATAATAAAAATCTCAACGCGTATTTCGAACGTGCTTTGACGGCTCTTACCTATATATGGTAGGAATCTAAACCAATTGCCAAGCAAGGGCAACGCTTTTGGTCCAGGAATATCTTCGGTCGGCCGTGCGTATTGCATCTCGTTTATATTTTTCGTTTCATTATGTTCGATCGGACAAGTTATGACCGAATTTGCACGACACTGTTCCCTTGGTGGCAAACGCAAGCCACTGATTTTGCGAAAAAATCTGGCACGTGTCATATTTTATCGAATGCCTCTTGATTTTGTCGTTCTGCAAAAGTATCCACAATTGTTTTAAATGTCTAAATTCGAGATGGACGATATATTCAGGAACGGATGTTATAAGAATATCCTTATAGGAATAGATGTTACATATAAGAATCGTTAAAATTTTCCGTTCTCTCTGTTCGATCGCGCTCAGTATTGATTCTCCACACAGTTTGTTTGTATACTGTCACACTCGCGATTTCCGTTCGAATTCAAGATCTTCCCGTAGCAAGCTTTCCGTTCGCACTTTCCTTGAAGATTTTCTGCGTTCAAAATTATCGAACTTTAACGCTCATTAATTGTATTAATCACACCGCTCGCTTCGATTGTTAAAAGTTTAACTGGTGAACATCCTGACGACTATTTGTCATTTGCAAAGTCATGCCGCCTTAACGTGCGAATTAATCTTCCTGACATGTTTATCGGCATAACTCAAAATATTGTGGTATTCGTCGCTACCGAACGATCCCGCGAGATTATTGATTTAACGCGTTTTGTATGTGTGCAATTATTTATTTCGGCAACGAAATCATGTTTATTTGGCAAATATATAATTCGGAATATTAATTTAGACTAATGAAAAAATGTCGCGTATCCCGAGCGTCGAATTTAAAACACGAATAAAACTGTCGAACTTTTAATATATACTATATGTCGTAACACTGAGACATGAAAAACAACAAGATCGAAATTTAGACGTCTTTTAAGATCCTGTATATGTACAACGTACATCTATATTTTGCCATTGCCCTTAATTTTACACTTTCGGATTCTTGACTATGATCAATCGAATTATTAAACATCGAGCATCGACACGCGATAACCAGAGATTCTATAATTTATTCAAGCCCTACTGCTTTTGAATACGTTAATTGATATTATTCGCGCAGAAGGTTTAAGCTTTAATAGCTCTTTTATCGATAAAATTCCTAATTGCTTTTGATTCGGCTTCTGCTTAACAATCTAATTGAAATGGCATTCGTGTAATAGAAGGCATCGGGTACATTAAATCTCTCTGTTCTAAATCTCTCGATTCTTTTGATATAATCACTGCATCGAAGGGATATTAAACTCTCAATTCTTTCAAATAGGAGGCGTTAGCGAGGATTTATCTAATGATAATTGGAATTATATTCTTTGATTAGATCAAGCAAATTTTGTTGCAAACGTGATACATGACAATCGTGTAAATTTTTCCAAAATATTCACAATTTTTATTTTTTCACGTTATACTTAACGTTTGCACGTAGCTCACTGGTAAAATCCGTACAACCGGAAATATTAATTTTATGTCAAATGTAAAAGTTTATCTTCTACACCCACGGATATTGCCGGCCGCGAATTTTCTTTCCGGCAACCTTCAGCACGATTGAACTTCCAATTCCAACGACTGTCAACAATATACAGGTATTCACCTTCTTATTCTGCTGCTTAACTCTTCGGCCGGTTTTATAATATGCAGTGTAGTAAGTCGTAAGCCGTAAGAAATTGACTAATCACAATCGAGTGTAGTGAGATGAACAATCGACTCTGATTGGTCAATTCATCCTCATCGCTGTCGCTGTCGTAATCTAGGATAAATCGTATCAATATTATAAAATCGTATTATTTTACGAAAAGTCAGCATCGTTATTTGTATAGAAATTTTATAAAATTGCTAATTACAAAAGTATTTCCCTTAATTAATTCAACGTATCTACTGGCAAATAGAACATTAACTACTTGTTTTAGAAAAGAAAAGTAATTCGGCGGTATACTTCTCACCTGGTGTATCTACGGCCGTTAAGTGGAGCTGAACGCCACGCTTTTTCGTATCCATTGTCTTTTTTTTCTCGATAGGTGGTCTTAGCCATCCGATCTGCAAGTGAACAATGAATATTTATCACTTCCTCATCGAGATCGCAACGAGCGGTTTACCCACGATATAAGCCGATCAAATATTTTTCGCGTGTCAATAATTCGCGGAGAGCTTGCGGAAGTTTTTAGAAAGACCATCCGGTAGCACTATACATCCCCATTCTCCATCGCGATCAAATCGTTGTTATTCCCATTCCGCGCATAAATTCAATCGAGAGGGAAACTAACAGATCTGACGAGGATAGTCTAATTTTTAAGGATATCGCGTGTTTATAAATTAAAAAAAAAATCGCACCCGTCGCATCCGGAAATTGCCGATCTTTGCACAGGTCCCCGAGGAGGAGGCTGTTTACGAGCGTCGATTTGCCGAGATCGGTTTCACCCAGTACCATTGTAATGAACTCGCGCCTCCGTGCGACAAGTATAACGGCAGCCAAATGTCGACGCAAACGTACTACGACCGCGAGGGTGGCTCGCGTTCGTGAATGTCCCTTTGACTTGCGCACTGTCGACCGGTCGATCAATAGTCGACGTGCACCTACGATGCATTCCGGGCTGCACGCCGTGAAGAGGTTAAACCGAGAAAGCCGGGCGTGTTGCGTGCAGAATAAATAGCAACGTTATTAGTGTCCGTCGTCCCGCTAATGGTTATACGGACGGAAGAGCGGAAATGATTGTCCGACATCGGTTGACTGATGACGCGATGCTGCGGTGCGGCGGCTCCGCGCCGACAATCGCGCGTTGCGGTGCATGAATTCACGCCCGGCGACTGTGATACGGCGATCGTGAAAGAAAGGCTATAACACGGGGATCCCTTATCGTCACAGCGTGCAGGACCGAATTAGATTTGAATTCCTCGAGGAGAAGGAAAGGAAGATGTTAACGAAATTGCTGCACTAATGTCCCTCGACAATATTTCTTACGGTGTTATTAACGGCGCTTTTAAACGAACGCAGATGATTTATTTGTATTCAGCCTGTATATTCACGCTGAATAAATTAAATAATCCGACGCGCTAACGTTTAGCGTAATTTCAGATCTCTCCGCGAGAGAACATGATGAATTTTCGGATTTAACGGATTTGCCAACAATCGCCCGTAATTATTCGTAATGGCCTGTAAAATCGCGGGATGACATGAGATTTATTACATTTCCGCGCTCTGTGACTACAATTTCAATTAATTAATTGTTATTAATTATTTTCCGCGTGGCGTTACTTTTCAATGATAATAAATTATTCGGGCATTTAAACTGTGGGATCGCTTCTGATGTAACAGTTGAAACAGAGACAATTCAATAAAAAATTAAATTTATTGCGTAAAATGTAAAATAACAATCCATTGTAGAAAAGATGTGTGGACGCTCGAGTGTGTGTAGGTACTTGGAAGAGATTCTTCGTTCTCATCGCTCGGCCTTATTTTTTTATAAACGCCATTACGTCGTTGACGTCGTCTTTGGAGCCCAAGAAAATGGGCGATCTCTGATGAATGTTTTCCGGCACGATGTCTAGAATGTCAATTTTCCCGTTTGTCGCCAGACCGCCGGCTTTCTCGACTATGAAAGCCATCGGTATGCACTCGTACAGAAGTCGTAGCTGGAATTACGAAATTACGGAATCAATATCAGTGACATAATTGTTATTATTATAATTATAATTATTGATTTGACTTGTTGCAAAATTTCCATTTTTTAATACATGAGATAGCATAAATGAAAAGTGTTTAAAATGCTTTATGTAATTCATACGCGATGTGATGAAAATTGAAGTTTAATAATAAGTTAATTATCGGTAAATATGTTCTCTTGAAATTCTGACCCCGGTATCGGCCTTTTGATAGAGAGCTGCAATCGTGTGTTTACCGGAACGTGTAATATAATACGCAAAATCCGATAATATTTCATAGAAATTTACATAGAAATCACGAGTTGCCGCCGGGCAATCAATGTAAGTTCAAACTGGATATTTATACCGCGCCTAGATAAAATAATTTCTAAAGTCCGATACTTTCCTGCACGTTTATCGGACAGATGGTAGCGTAAACATTTGTTTAAAAGGCAAAGTTGCTGCAGTTAGTTATTTCATTACTCAATCCATCTGCGGTGATAAGCGCATCCGATAAGCGCGAGATCAGGATGTTTAGCAATAATCGAGGAGCGAAGAGAGAAAATATATATCGAGAAGAAAACGCGAAGATAAATGGGATAACGCGAATGGTGTAATACGCGACATATGTCGTAATACTGTTATGGCTCTCATATATCTGTCTCGATCTCTGTTTCGTCCTTTTTCTGTATGAAACAGTTAGCTCGCGCGCGATATAAAGTTGAGAAGTCATTATGAAATTATACCTTGCCGTTGGGATTGCTCTTGCTCGCGGGATATAAGAAGATACCGCCGTACTTAATTGTTCTGTGTACGTCGGCGACCATGGAGCCCACGTATCTGGCACTGTAGGGCTTCCCGGCTGCGGGATACTTCTTGGAATGTATATATTCCTTAATAGACGAGTCCCACGTGCTCTCGTTGCCTTCATTAATACTGCAAATAACCATAAGCGATTTCAGTGCGATCAATAATGACCTGATAGCGATGTAATCTCATCCATTACAAAATTAATTTGAATTTAACTTATCGAATATTCTAGCGAATCCGTGATTACGTAGACTGCGTCTGATTTCCTAATCTCTCGATAGCGCAACTCTTCGATACATTACTCGCGACGCGGATGTTAGCCGTTGTCTCATTCTTTCGTCTCTTTATCTTTCTTTGTAAATAGTTCTCCTTTCTGATTCCCCTACCTATATATATTGCCTCTGTCGGGCATACGCATGTTCTTCTCGGTCAGTATAAATTCCCCGATGGCCGGATCGTACGTGAATCCATTGACACCGTGGCCGATCGAGAGCACGATCATAGTCGCCGAGCCGTACAGAGCGTAGCCGGCCGCGACCAAGTTCCGTCCCGGTTGCAGCGCGGCCTGCAGCGTGGATTCCCCGGATCGTTTTTTGTAAATTCCAAAGATCGAGCCCACCGAGACCAGGCAGTCGATGTTGGACGAGCCGTCGAGCGGGTCGAAAGACACGACATATTTGCCGCTCTTCTCCGTTTCCACCTCGATGGCATGCTGGTTCTCCTCGCTCACGAGCACGCACGTGGTGAAGGAGGACGTTAGCATGTTGATGAAGAGCTCGTTGCTCAGAACGTCCAGCTTCTTGACTTCCTCGCCCTGAATATTGGTGTTGCCAGCGATGCCGTACCTATAGATAAATAAGGATACATCATGTGTAACAGCTGATTAGTGTATACCCAAAGGAGCGTTGCATAACCGATTATGACTGATGATAGGCTTAAAATACGTCGAATACACGATAAAAATATATGATAAAAATGTCAAATATTATTTAAAATAAAATGATTTTAAAAATTGCAATTGTTTCAAATAATATTAAATAATATAATATAATTTTAAAATAAAATTAAAAATTTTAATATTATAGCTTATGTCTTAATATATTTTTTATTTTATAATCAAATGTAGACAGAAATTTGAACGTTTAAGAACTTAGATCGTTTAGATTAGATAGACATTGAACATTTAAGGAAAGTCTTTAAAGATTTAAAAATTTTAAGAGAGAAATTTTAAATTTTAAGATTTAAAAATCTTAAGACTTTTTAAGACTTCAGTTTCAACGAAATAAAACGGTTCAGATTTTTTTACGATAAAATTATTTTTAAATTATAAGAGCTTGAAAAAAGAAGCCATTATTTAAAACATTGAGATAAATGCAATATTGTTTTTTGTAACATTTTTACTAGTATTTGAATAATAAATACATTGTAGAATATTATATAATTTTTTATTATTTATTTAATATATTATAGAATGGTTAGAAATGTGTGGGGGAGTAGCTATAATTTATTTATTAAGCTTTATTTATTCAGTCAGCTAATTTATTCAACAGACAATTATTCAGTACTATCATCAAAATGTTAAGATAGAAATTTTTAATTATATTATCTAAGATTTACTGATTTCATCACGGCTGTCTAATTCAGACTGTCTACTCAAGGCATAATTCGCGTTAGATTATTGATAAGCGAAGTTTGTTTCGGAATTCGATAGAGAGCGACCAGTCATGAAATTGTTTTATTCATGTCCGCGCGGTGTGCACAGGCACTGTAATAATGGGAAATCATTTATATGTTATTTACATGCAAGGTTACAGAATTGTCAGGGCGTAGAGATTAATGTTTACTGGCGTGTATTGGCAGCTTGAGCACGACGGTAAATGCACGAGACTATACCGCCGTCGAATACATTTGAATAAAATAGAGACGCGCGCGCCTGGTTTGAGGTGGCAGACGTTAGCCTCAGTTACGACACTGCGGAAACTTTACACCTACAACACACACGTATACACGTACATCAGTCCGTGCGCGGTGTCCACCGCGCGCTAAATTCTGACCGTTTTGTGCCGGATGAAAATGTAAAATCACATAAACTGCATCCGTATATATACGCTGGGGGCGGTAAATGTATGAAAATCCTCCATTTCGGTCACAAAATAATCTTGTAACTTAAAACCGTCGGAAGAGAGATATTTGCGCGATGCAAAATGTATATAGCCGTAAAACAGCGCCGAGTCTCGAACTTATGAAGATATATTACAAATTATAATTAGATTAATTTGAATATCTCGTAAAATGCCTCTATCTCTCTGCCGCCGTTTGAACGACGTGCCGTTTAGCGAACGAACGTCCAGTTTATGAGATCACGAAACGGTCTCCGCTTCTATCGCCCTGCTCCTTTTTCGTCTATTCGGCCACGCAAAAAGCGACGAATCGCGCACATTCGGCACATTCCACGCGCGTTACGCGCTCGCGTTTTTCTCGCTAACGTTGGCAAGGCTGTCTGCCGTCCCCGAAGACCCGAGGCCCCAGGCCTCGGGAAAACTCGCGTCGTTTACTCACATATTAGCGATACCGGCCTTCCTCACGGCCGAGCTGACAGCCTTTACGGCGGTCTGTATGCTATTCAACAGCTGCGTGAGATCGCCGGTCGCCGTTGGCACCTTGCGCTGCTCCGCCAGCACGAATCTGGTCAGTGTCATGCAGTCCGAATCCATGATCGTGTTATTCGATGACATCGCGGCGCGGTTCCCCCTGATCGAGCAGCTGGCAAACGAACGTTAGAGAACGAGGCTGTCCCGGCGGAGACTGAAAGCGACGATTTGGAGGCGCCGCGTTATATAAGATCCCGAGCTGGTCGGCGGGCACGTTATCGCGACAGTGTGAAAGCGGCATTTGATATTCGAGTTTCCGAACTCGCTCTTGCTCGCTCTATGAGCTTCTTCTGCGAGTGATACTATTTCACGATACGCGCTCGACCGCGAACGGTGATACGTGCCTTGATAAAGTCGTGCTTCGAGGCGCGCGCTTAAACGACACGATATATTATCGGGTGGGAAAACGAGAGATATCTCACTTATTATTTAATATTTGCTATTCCATAAATATCTACAAACAATCGATGCGCGGATTTGCATTCGCGTTGCTTGTGTTATGCAAAACAAAACGTGGGTAATCAGCGCTAGAGTTTATTTTCGGATGGTTTGAAGTCAGTTTTTGCGCACTGGAAATATACCATTGATTTACTTTTCCATGTTTTTCTCGCTTCACAGATTTGTTATTTTATTAATTCATTGACGCGCGGATAGTGAATTATATATATATATATATATATATATATATATAATTTGTTGAATTTAACGTGACCGGGCATCAGTTAGTCACGCGTTGGTTTTATAAAAGAGTAAATTCCTCGGAAAAACCGATAATCGCATAAAATAAGCGAACAATGACGTATTTAATACGTAAATTTTATTCGACAGTTGTTTCGTCGCTGGTTTTTCTCTGCATTTTATCTTACCCGTATTGCTTTTTTCCGCGCATTATTTTCATCTCTGTAACATATGTAAATATATTCGGTTCCGCTGCACACGCGGTCTTGTGAAAACGAAAACTAAACGCGATAGGCGTAAAAAAAATATTGCGGATATTCACACATCGCGCACGTAGCAATATTCTATTATCCGGCTGTATTATCGGGGTCGTGTAAACCGGAACTGGGTCGCATTAAGATTCGTTTCGCCGATTATGCATTACCCTTCCACGTGAAAATATATAGTGTCGCGCGTCATTCGACGTAACGTAAGAATGATTTTATTGCTTCCCACATCGCGAAACGTAAATCGATTTTCGTAAACTTGCCCTCGCATGTATACACGGGAGTATGTTCTTGGAATCCCGACCTGTATTTCAGACGTCTAAAGCACTATTATGCGGTTAATTCGAGTCCAAATTAATTCCTGAATGCGTCTCGCGATAGATAAGGCCTGCAGTGTCGTAGCTTTGTTGTAAATGCTGTTGTTACCGCTGTGTGCGGTATAATTAAACTAAATGGCATATAACGAAATTAGCGTCGGCGACGACGTTAGATCGATCGAATCGTGTTCGCCTAAATAACGGCAATTTATCGGACCTGTGTATGTGTGTGTGTGTATGCAGTGACCATTCTACGTTACAAATTATCTCCATTTATCTCTCCTACAATTTTATCTAGAATCTTTTATCAATAGTGTGAGCGATAAATATTTGATGAAACAACCATCAACACTGATAAATATTTTTAGCTTTATTGTCATTATAAATACGTATAAAATAGTATCATAATATGCTTTCCCCAAGGCTATCGAATAAAAGATAAGTATGAAAAGGTACGTTGGTGTTTGCTAAAGAAAATTTCAACAATACGTACAATTTATAGCTTTATATCTCTCGTATTTTTATGCCATTTAAACGCGAGCGCGCACACATGCGCGACCGCTTTTCTACGAGCTTGCTAAAAATTTGTAGCTTTCGCGCTAAAAAATTCCGGTGAAATGTCGCACTTTCTGTCCTCGGGCGTAGATTAAAATTGTAAGAATTGTGGTTGGTCGATGTCTCATCTTCTCCACTTCTCGGTCGGGTTTCTTCGGTTAGACGCTTGTGCAACCAGCGGCTGCACAGACATTTGTCGTAATTATTAAAGGGAAAAAATTGCGCAAGACGTCGGCAGGACACCTTTCTGGACCGCTTTCTCCGTGGTGACACGTGGATCGATTTCGTGGAAAGATTTGGTAACGATCTACAAGTCGATGAGCTTGAATTGCAACGGTGTCGTCACATTGTTTATAAATCGGCTTTCTATCTCGAGCGGTCCGTGATGCCATTCGATCCGGAAATTTCGTATGACCTAAATAAAACAAAAACGCATCTTCAGTACATTTCCTTCGCAGTTTGCACCACGAGCGCGATCCGATGGGTGATAAGCGAACGTCGCGTCCTCACGGCTTTTCCGCTCGCGGGGAATCATTTCGAAAATCAGCCATTCAATTGAAAAGCGTGGTTTCGAGACTCGTAATTTTCACTATATAGAGCATTCTTTGCTTTCTGTGTAAAGACTGTCTCTAAAAAATAAAATCTGTCTGGCACGCGTGTAAAGAGCAAGTATTTTGTACATATATTAATAAAATAATATGTAGTACATAAAACTATATGTAGTAAATATTCGAGTATTTTGTAGAATGTAGATGAATGTATGCGCGAGTATTAACCAGAATTGAATGTAGACATTTCTGTTAACGTTTACATTAAAATTGTCAGGACGAGTCACGGAGTCACGCTTCTCAATTCTTCACGGAGGAGAGGGAACGGCGCCAACGCGGAGAATCCGCGAGAATATTTAGCTTTCCAGGAATTCATACTTAAGCGCAACATCGTTATTTCACTGCCGTGCACATTCACGCGTAGTCCGGCGCGGCGCTTCAAGAGAATATCTGCATATTATGCAAGCGTGTCGTCTGTACCTGTTATTATCTTAGCGCGCGATATACTTTTGCGCGCGTGCTCGTTTAAACCTCTCAACTTATTAAACATTTGTGCTTATCGCGTATGAATAAAACATCGATGTAAAGAAGGGCCCCTTCTTGCGGGACACGCGAGTGAATTGTAAACAAAAAATCGGTTTTTCTAGCTACACTCATTTAAAGGACGCTTACATTCGCTCCGGCCTGTTCGTACGAAAGCGCGCGCGAACGAGTGAAATGCAGTGAGATTAACAGAACATTCACTGAACACAATGGTAGTTTTCTTTCATTTCTTGCCATTTTCTCTTAAACGACGAACAGCGGAAGAAAATTGTGTCTCTAGCATGAATATACAAGCTAGATAATTTACTTAATTAAATTGCTTAATATTTAAAAAATATAAAAATAGAAAAAATATTAGTAGATGAGTTTGTTACTTGATTGGCAGTATGCCATTTATATTATGTTTAGATATTCGTATTAATCAGTTTTTGTCAAGCTGTCTTAACCGTTTTGACCGTAAAATTTGGGGCACGTGCAGGAATGAAATGCAAGACGTTTTTGGCACCGTTATCTCCTAACGTAAGACACATTATTTCGAAATAGAAATCAGGTTATCGTTATCTGGCGGACTGAATCCCGCGGGCAATAGAATTGCCAGTAGGACGGGCAAGTTTACGAACTGTCAAGAGCAACGTCTCGAGCTCCATTTCGGCGAATCGTCGACCGATGCAGGTGCGAGGGCCGAATCCGAAAGGCATGTACGCGAAGGGATGCGCCTCCTTGGCTGATGGAAACTCCGTGTTGCCCCGCAACCACCTCTCGGGAATATATTCCTCCGTTCGCGAAAACTGCGTGGGCTTTTGCGCGATCAGAGAATGACAAGCGGCGACATCGAACTGACGGCATAGAAAAGAGGACCATTGAGAACGTGATTTCATTGATGCAGCTTGTTTGTGCGACATTTGTACCCGATAAATTTATGAATCCTTCGTGTAATTTAGAGTGAATTTTCTCTTAACATTGTTGAAATATATTGATAGCTTAATTAAATGAATGGATGGAAATAATTTTTTGCGGATTAATAAACAATTTAACCGCAATTATATAAATATTATAGCCATTAATTAGATTGAGAACGCGCGATTTTGTTGATGCAGTTTGTTTCGCGACATTTATATCCGATTTTATAAATTCTTTATGTAATTTAGAGTGAATTTTCTCTTAACAATGCTGAAATATATTGATATAGCTTATTAAATGAACGAATGGAAATAAATTTTTACGGGCTAATAAACAATTCAACCAAAATTATATAAATATTATAGTCATTAATTAAATTGAACGCGATTTCGTTAATGCACCTTGTGTTTCACGTCATTTATACTCGATAAATTTATGATTCCTTTGTGTGATTCAAAGTGAATTTTCTCTTAACAATATTGCTAAAATATATTGAGTTTAATTGTATAAACGACTAGAAATAATCTTTTTGCGAATTAATCAATAATTCAAAGATAAGGTATAAATATTGTAGTCATAAACATTGTACTAGTTCATTAATTAGATACTGATATTATATTAAATCCTAATTGTAAATATCAAATTAAAAGTAAAAAAAATGCCACGCACCCCTGCTGGTATTTTGTATCCTCCTATGCAAACGTCCGTTTGCATAGTTCTAAGATTGCCTACAGCGATGGGGAACAATCGAAGGACTTCCTTGATACAGGCCTTAGAATATCTCGTCTGATTTAATATGTCCGGCGTGACGGGTGATGTTTTGTCCGGTAACACGGATATTGCTTCTTCCCGCAGTTTTTCCTGTTTCTCCGGATTATTTGCGATGTAATATAACAAACTGGCGGACACGTTGCCAGTCTATAACAAATCGTTACTTAATCTTGTATACAGTCCTATTTCTAGAATTTCGATATACCTAACTAATAGAATTATTTCTCTTTCTCGAAGCATTTCCGCTGAACTTAAAGAAAAATTCTTTATCGGTTATAAATATACAAGAACTAGAAGTTTCGAAAATAAATATACAGGATAGATATACGAAGTATACAACGTTACGTTTTCGAAAAAGAAGGGAAAGCGAATTTTTTATTTTTCATTTCGTTCGCAGAAGATCGAGCTATTAAAGATGTTTTGAAGAGTCGGAATCTCGCACTTACCGTGTCAACACCAGCCGTAAGCATATCGAGCGCCATTACCTGTGCCGTTTGCTTGTCGATCCGCAAAAGTTTCTCTAATATACTACGATTATGCAGATTTGTGCTATCGTCCATTGTCTCGTATTTGGCCTTAGCCCGCTCGATGTGTTTCGTGGCAATTCTAAAAGAAACCGTAAGTATAAGATTGCGCAAATAAATAAAAAGACGACTACGGCGAGTCGTGTTTTGAAACTTTGTTACGTGCAGGATGAATTATGCGCGGGCATAATGAAACGGTAGATAACGGTAGAATGACCTAGAATGTTAAATTTTATTCGCAACAGAAAGTAATTAACACGAGACATCTCACACGAAACATTATTGATAACTAACTTCGATACGAGAATGCCGGGAAAACATATATCGAGCATTACAGTAATGACGACACGAAGTAACAAGTTCGCGTATATATTCGCGTGGGAGTTACGGAGTAATATGCTGACGTAGTAGTGTAACGAGTATAAGTTTCAATATTTACCCATTAAGCGTATCCAGCGCGCGGAAGAACTTCTTGAGATTCCGCGTATTGTATACCTTCCACAGAGACAGCTGAACTTCCATGCTGTACATGAGATCGAACATCTCGCGTACGCAATTAATCATTATTTGCGGCTCCGAGTCCGCGGCGAGATTAGAGTCCAAGCACCCTAGCCGGCAATCCAGCGCGATCGAACATATTGCTGTTAATTACATAACGATAAAGTGATCGTCACGTCAACGACGAGTTTTAATAGTGAAATGTAGAGCGACGGGTGTATTTTTAACTTTCGACCGTATCTCTTGTCGCATCGTTGATAAATGCATTACGATCCACTCGAATGTACAGCGCCGCGGTGCAGCATTGAATTTGGAGTGCGAGCTAATTTATCAGCTCCATTGTTACAAGTGAGACTTATATATGTATACGAATATACGTGCACATCATTCTAGGTGCTCCATTTTCGAAGAGGAGCGCAAAACGTCAGCGGCGCAAATATCTCGCCACTACAGCCCCATACCCTCGCGTCGCTTTACTTACACTCTAAGGCCCACTTTAGCAATTCGTTGTTGAACCCCTTCGGCAGTTCCAAGGTCTCGGAATCCCGCAGCGCTCGCATCTTCTTCACGAAGTCGCCGGTCACCTCGCTGATCTGCGCCACGTGCGCCTTGACCGTTCGCGGTTGCATCATGTACGGATTGACTTTCGATCGAAAGTCGTGCCATATTTTGCCCTGGCTGAAAGCAGAACAGCCACCCTTTTCAGCGAGAGACGAGATGTTACATCGTACGCAATTTATATAGGCCTCCGTGTTTGGCCTCCGTGGCCTCTCTAGGTATACACTCGCCGGACTATCGACCGTACAGGACACAGGAGAGACCAGCAAGATAGAGATGGCGAGATGGAAAGAGATAGATAGAGAGAGAGAGAGAGAGAGAGAGAGAGAGAGAGAGAGAGAGAGAGAGTTAGGATAGCGATGGGGAGGAGGGTTGCTTCGTCAGCTCGTGTTCCCGTATTCTGACGAATTTTCGGGATATCGACGACCTTCGCGCTTGACCATATATGTAGATATCTGACGTACTACGCCGAAAACGTCTGCCCTTATTCACGTTGAAATCACGAAAATCACGTAATAACTATACGTTATTAATCTAATAATTCAGTACAACATAACTGTCTACTTCAGAACTATAGCCGCTAGTGCACAGATCGTATAGATTGTTGAAGCGAGATCTGAGATAAGCAGTAGAATATTGCGATTCGTGAGCTGAAAAGACCGTTTAATGAAATCGTACCGTGCACTTTTTCCATTTTCAGATTTTTTTTTAATATTTTAATAATAGACGGATAAGAGGAAGCACAGCAAAACTAGGGCGTTCTTTGTACGTACACACACACACACACACGCACATGCACACACACACACACACACACACACACACATTTATAGATATCTATCCAGCTATGGAACTTAACGAGCTTCTTTCCAAGTAATTCTATTCCGGAATTTTAGAATCTTAAGATTTTAAGAATTTTTTTTTTAAATCTTTATTATCGCATCTTAGAGAATTCTATGAAAAGATACGGTTGGAGATCAAGGCACAGTCTTGTATTTTGTAAGGAAAAAGAGACAATCCCCTTTCTCTCTTGATGATTACATTTTTTCAAAAGCATTCTACTGACCTTGTTGCGAGGCCGTACTGCCCGTTGTAGATATGTTCCCTGTTCTTGCGATAGTAATGTAGAGTCTCCATAGCAATTCGCTGCGGCCACGTGCCTTCCATCCGATACATTTTTTCGCATAACTCCGGTGAGAACAGAAAGATGAGCGATCGGCGAAATCCTATCTGGTCTAATTTAACGATATCGCCGTACTGATCATGCATCATCCGTAATTGTGTTACAGCATCTGCTTTGCTATATTCACCTGCATCGTTTAACACCAATTAATGCCATTTATTGGTGCGTGATTTAAGAAATAGAAACATATTACGTTTAAACAATTGATACACTTTAATAGATATACAGGGTGTCCCGAAATTCGCGAATAAAAATATCAAATATAGCACGAAAGTTTTCGAAAAATTAAGTAAAAAATTATTTGGCAATTTTTAATTTAAGCAGTAGTTTTTAAGCAATAGTTTTTAAGCAGTACTTTCTAAGATATAACAGTTTAAATTTAGCCAATTATGGATTACGATTAAACGAAAACATGTCCGTCAGCACGTCGATAGTGTTAGTGATCGCGCACTTCACGCGAGTATTAATCTATAATTGGCTAAATTTAAACTCATATCTCAGAGACTGTTGCTTAAAATAAAAATTTACAAATAACTTTTTACTTATTTTTTCAAAGACTTTGTTGCTATGCTATTTTGATTTGCGAATTTCGGAACACCTGTATAACAAAAAAAAATCTTTCGAGATGCAAATTTATAACATTCTATTAAATAAATTTCTCTATATTATTAATTATATCACGACATATGCATGCCATCACCGTCTAATTGATTTAAATGTCGTGTTTAAGTTTGAACTCGAATAAATCCATTAACGATAAAAATCTCGGCACGCGTTTTGAATACGCTTTGAGACGAGAGACCTCTTACCTATGTATGGTAGGAATCTGAACCAATTGCCAAGCAAAGGCAACGCTTTCGGGCCGGGAATATCTTTGGTCGGCCGCGCATATTGCATTTCGTTGTTCACATCTTTCGTTTCGTTATGTTCGATCGGATATGCCACGACCGACTTTGCACGACATTGCACCTTTGACGAAAACCACGAGCCATTGATTTTGTGAATAAGAAATCTGGTACGTATCATAGTTCACCGGATGCCTCTTGACTTTTTTAACGTTCTGCAAAAGTGTATCCACAACTGTTTATACCTCGTCGTAAACGATAGACGATTGCCGCACCAAACGCAAGTTATCTCGCGAAATTATCAATTCAACGCGTTCAATATGTATGCAGTTACGTTTGGCAGTTATTTATGGCAACGAAACTATGTTTTTTCAGCAAATATATGATTCCGAATATTAGTTTAGAAAACTAATGGAAAAATATCGCGTGCCCCGCGCGTCGAATTTAAAATACGAATAAAACTGTCGAACTTGTACACGTCGTAGTGAAACATGACAGACCAAGATCAGAATTTTAATCTCGAGTAAGAGGTGGGGGAATTACCGCGGAGTTTATGCTATTTAGTGACAAAGAGGGGGTTAATTCTTTGACTGTGCCGCGTGTAAAATTACTGCAGTTGTTTAAAATTAATGTTTGCGGGTGCAGCGAGTCTAAAATGGAGAAGACATAAATATACAAAGTCGGACGAGCGCTTGAGGTTTATTAAACAATAAAGAATAATTTAATCAACTTACTAAATGGATATTACACAATACCATTTTGTATCGCTCAAATTTACTCCTCAATTTCTCTATTAATTAACACTAAACGTAAACAAGGAGGGACTTATTTGCTCGAAATTGCTTTTTATCGTAGAGCTCGCAATCTTAATTACACGTACGGCACAAAGCGCTCGCGGCCAAAGGGTTAAAGACGATGTAGCGACCGCCTTGATATTTACAAGGCGGTCGTTCGTCTTGGGCTAACATTCAATTCGGGCGTTGTATGGGTTGTAAAGCATGCGACGCCGACGGAGGGATTTTCCGAGAGATATCGAGTTATGGTCCCGGGGAGACTCCGGCGCTGCCGCCGCTGGACCGAAACACGCGAACGCGCCTCTATATCGACATACGTCAGCCCACGTTATAGCACGAACAAGCTACGACCGATGATGACGACGACGACGACGATGAACCGAACGCCCCGTTTTTCACCCTCTCCCCGTGCTCGTTTCCCGTCCGACATTTTCCCGTCTTAGCTTAACCCTCAGACGTCGGAAATACTTTCAATCCGGAGAGTGACGAAAATAGGTCATATTTCACCCCTTCCTCCCTCCGTGGCCGCCCCGTGGCACGACAGGTTTGTTATTACAAGTTCCAAATGCAGGAAACGCCTGATGAAGCAACTTCTGCCGTGTAACTTTTACCTATCGCGGTTTTTTCTTCCTTTTTTCTCTACCCTTTCTTCTTCTTTTTTTGTTGTGTTCGGAGAAAAATGACGCAGCCTTTCGAAGGCTCGAAGCGTCTTTAATGAGTCGAGATCGGTCGAACTGGTCGGCATTCAGACGACGAAAGGCACAGTGAATGTTCTAAATACTTCTTCGACAATTATTTCGGTATTTTTTGCCACGTGAAATATGGAAATTTACTATCTGAATTAACAAAATACTGAATGATTTTTAGTTTTTTTACGCTGCGATTTGCTGAACACTGCGCATCTTCTTGATCATATCTATTCGTACAAAACTCGATGGCATGCGAGCGTTTGGTTTTAAAATATCAGCTAATAAATTTTGTTTATAATAGCAATATATTATTAATGTGTTTTACAAATTGCAAAATTTAATGCAATATAAGATATAATACAATATAATGTATAAGAATATATCGCAAAGTCATGTAAATCGACCCGCTTAATTATCTTATCTTTTTATTGCTCAAAAATTACTTTCATGTTTTTATAACAACGTATATATTGCGCCGTGTATTTATAGATTATTTTATGTATTTGAATTTAAGGCGATCCTAAAGTCGTCTGTTTTATCAATCAAAAGTGATTATTTTCTAGCAGATAAAACATAATTAAAGGCAACAGATTTAATAACTTTCTCCACGATTAAAATATAGGTTATCAATCTAGTTTCGGTTGATATTATGCTGAGAATAAAAAAAATTTAAGACATTTAGATCTCCGTTATCTTTTCTTATTGTTAGTCCAATATGGCATCTATAGAGTTGTTAACGTGCCAATATTTGTTTCGTACAAAAATTTGGCAGTTTGTTGATACAAAATGATACCAACCGGAACTGCGATGTGCAAACAATGTTGAGTTCATAGAATTAGACTTGGATGTTTAATAAAAAAGATGCATATGCTTGAAAATTTGTTATGATGTGTGCGATATTCATAGGATAGTAAACTAGAGCACATCACTATACACTACTACATCAATATCACACGCATATATATTCACAAATCGTCGATAAATCAACGACATTTTTGGAGTTTGATCTCCAGTTTAGGCTCGCCTTAATGATTTAAAGTAACCGAGATATCATAAGAATTACTTAGATTCCGCATATTGCAACCACTTATCGTTCGTACAGTCGTATTCGAGCGCAATAATAGAATTTTAAAAGCAACAGTGTTCGCGGTATATTACGCACTCGCCTAACGCTGTCGTCAATTGTGACAAAATGTGCACTTACACAATCGAGCGTAATCGAACAATCTTGCACGGGTGCGCGCGTATCTCACTTCCGTAGACTCGACGATTCCTTCTATCGACACGTGCCACTTCCGGTTGGACCACTTCGCACAGTGAATGAAAATCGGTTTGCCCGTCTTCTATAGATAAATTCTATAATATAGATGTGTTTATATATAATTATAACAAAGTTAGAGAGAGAGCGCAACAGAATTTTTCATCACCGCACACATCCGTTATACGAACCGTCGTTTTATTGCGTCGAACTCATTGTGACTTAGCCCGATGCGGAATGTAGAGAAAAAAGGTCGAAGTTTCCCCTGAGGTTATGCGATCGCGACTTTATCTAACCGAATGGTCTCTCTGACGTATTGCTTGGTACACTTGCACTTGAACGCGGATGATCAATCGGCAAGGTTGCGGCATTACGCTGAATGAGGCTTTTCTCATACAGTCACTTTAGTACGATAGAGATACCAATTTTTGCTGCTATTATTTGCGCAAGGAATAACACACGAAACGGTTCTCGCGATAACTACAATTATGTCGAAGAAATGCGATTTAACCTTGTTTTACCTGCAGTGATATTCAATTTAATTACAGTTAGCTGGTAGATCAACATCCGCATGTATTATCGCAAATTGATAACGTTAGATAATATTATCGCCATGATGATATGACATTATCTTTCATTATCTAAGGTGCAGAATTTTTTGTGAACCAGTTACACTGACTCTTCGTGCACTATGAATGTAGAAAGCCATTATGATGGTTCTCCGTAACAAAAGGGTTAATCGTTGCACTCCGCCAGCTTTCTCCCCTTTTTTTTTTCCTTTTTTTGTATCGATATGCAGGACAATAACTGACCGACTTCTCGTGCCCCAGGCCCCAGGAAAAGGATAACAATAGCACAAATATCTGAAAATTTTTATTGTACAATGTTTTATATCTACAACACGATGCGTCTTAATAACGATACATCGCTTTGCGAAAACAATGAAAATATCGCATGGGATGAATGTGGACGTGTCTGCGTAATTCTGAAAGGTTATCGCGTGTATTTAAGAGAAACGCGCGTTAGACGTTTAATCTCGGTCGTGAGCTCGCAATTCGCAGTCAGCACGCGACGTGGAATAAAATGACTTCTGACACTTTGATAATGTAGATGCCATGATGCAAGTTTTCGCCGAGGGAAGGATAATCTAAGCGCAGCGATATAAATTTTCGTTAAGAACGCGTGTCTACCCGTTCAAGAACCGAAACTCGATCAAGAATCGCGTGGCAGAAATCTGGGACACCTCATGTATTTTTACGTAATCCCGCTCCTTGCACGAAACTCGTATACACGCGCTTGTACAAAGAGACATACATCTAGATTAACAGAAAGATGAAATAATAACGGAAAGAAAGACTTTTTTCGCATAATTATTCTCGTGTTGTAAAATTTTCTTTACAGAATTCTTTACAGAATTTATTAATTTCTACCAGTATTACCAGTATTTGCTATTATTATTATTATTATTATTATTATTATTATTATTGCATTTCGACCTATTTGATAAATTTTTTAATTAAAAAGAAATTTAAAGGAAGTTACCGTCATTACGTCAAATTATATGGTGTGCGAAAAAAGAGCAGCCTCGAGGATCTCTAGATGTTCGTTCGTATTCATTATATTATAGGCGTGAATTCACGTTTGGTCTCTCATTACGGATTTTCACACCTCCGGTTAGCTCGAGGGTGAGAAACGGGGGGAGGCGAACGAACACTCTATTTATGTATGTACATACCGATAACTGAAAGTGACCGAGTTTCAGGTCTAACCGATTCAGTGGCGATCATAATGACAGTGTCGAAAACGGCATTTGACATTCGCGAAGTGTCAAAAATGGGCATTCATTGACATTCGGATGAACGAAAGTTCGAATGTCGCATTGAATGCCGGGCCAGAATTTTTCCTACAAAAGACATTAATAATCTCGCGTTCGTAATAATTATGAAAACTAGTAGGGTAGTTTTATTAAGTCGCATTAACGTTTATTAATGAATCGCCAAGTGGATAAATATATTTCATTTATCAATGGCACTGTGTATGTATGTATAGCTCATTGAAATCGGGCGTGCTTGGTGAGATCGGTGACGCGTGTTGTGGTACACGGGGATGTTGGGACCGAGAGGAGCCGGTGGCGCCGACGTCGCGTCGTCGACGTCGTCGTCGTCGTCGGTAGCGGTGGTGGTAGCGGCCGCAGCTGCGGTGGCGGCAGCAGCGCAGGAAAGAGCTTGCGAGAGAGAGGCGAAAGATGTATAGAAAATCTGGCGGCGGGCTGGGCGTCGCGGGGCGGTGAATGACGTCACGTTGCTAAAGCGACGCAGCAACGCGAGGCGTCTGCGTGGGTCGGTGGGTGTCTGGGGGTCCGGGATCAATAGCGCCAGCAACCAGGTAGTAGGTATGGGTGCATGTAGCTTTCTCCACGGTGGCAGTCCAGGAGACGAACCTCGCGAGGTAGGACACTTTACGAGTCGAGCGAGAGAGAGATAGAGAGCGCGAGAAAGCGAGGGAGAAAGAGAGAGAAGAGAGACAGTTGGATAGAGAGAGAGGAAGAGAGTTCGGCGGCCTGTCAGAGTGTCGTGCCGGAGAAGAGCGGCGCTATGCCAGTGATCGAGCGTAGCAGCGGGGTGTCCAGCGTTTAGAACTGTCAGCCTCTCCAGGTAAGGGTCCAGCGACAGCCTCTCCGCCGTCCTGTCCCGACCTCGACGGCTGCGTGCCATCGGCCCGCAAGCGGCACGCGAACCGTGTGCCTTCCGCGATCTCATCCGCGGCGCGACGTCCGCGCGAGAGAATCACGTCTCGGGGAATCCCCGGGGCTCTCGCGGTACTCTCGGGAGTGGAGAACGAGTTGAACGGGCGCGCGATAGGTCGTTCTGTAGGTCGATTGAGACGGCGTGTAAGATCCAAGTGGGAGCGCGAAGCGGAAGAAGGCGAACGACTGCGAAAGAGTATAGATAGATAAATAGATAGAAGGAATGAAAAAGAGAGAGGAGGGGAGGAGGAAGAAAGAGTGAATGCGAGAGAAGGCTCACGGGGACAAGTGAGATAGATTGGCGGATAGATTGGATAAGTATGCACGCATGCACGCACGCACGCACGCATGCAGTTCGGTAGGTGACACGGGATGGACGGGCAGAGGTTGATAGATGGTCCGATGGACCCGATGGGCGGATCGACGGCAACGCCGAAACGGACGGGACGGACAGATAAATATGGGCAATTGGCAGAACGGAAAGACGGATTTGCAGATACGAACGTAACGGAATACGAGTGAACGGATTGATGGGTCAATCGTTCGACGCTGCCGAAGATTCGCGCGACCAGAAAACTGCATCTCCTCGTGCAAGATCTCGATCCGTCGTTACGCGCAATCTAACGCGTAATCTACCGGATAAATGTATATTTCGTTTTTTTTATTTTCCGTGTGTTTATTTGAATGCAACGGAAAGTAATAAATATTTCAGCGATCATAATTCCTTAGATATTCACTATATATTTGTATATCTATAAAACTAAATTGATGAACTCGAAAGAGAGAAAAAAATGACACATTAGAGATATATGTGTATAATTCTGGGACAAACTATAAATACTTGGATTTTTATCATTCCATGCTAATTTCGTTTTTCTGTTGGATTTCGCGTAACGATAAGCATGACGTATGTATATTTCGCCATTAAGGTTACATCAAGATTGATAAATTGCGGGGACGTGTCAAATATACGGTGCCATTAAACTACGGCGCAGATGCATTTTCGAGCGCTTTATTTACCCTCTATCAAATTGGCTTTTACCAATCGATGACTGATCGCGTTGATGATCCGTAATTTTGCGCGATAAGCTAATCTGTCGCACGGATGAAATCCATGTGCATTCGTTTAGGGCATTACTCTGCGATAATAATGAAAGAGACAGAAATACAGACTGCAAACTCGCGAGAGGAGAGAGAGAGAGCGAGAGAGAGAAAATGTGTCGTAAATCGCTTACCTGCCCTCCCCTCCTCGGTAACCTGCCCGCACGCTCTTCTTCTTTGTCACCATTTGTCAGCACCGTACCTAAATTATGAGTTATGGTGTCCGCGTGGTCTATTCATGTAGCTTCGGTATGAAGGCAAGGTCTATTAGAACTTCAGAAGAGGTCGATATTCTTAATACACTCGCGGCAAATCTCACTGACATTCGGAACGAGTTGGCAGAAATCCTTTATTTGAATACTTGTACAGATCACAGCAAGTTTCACGTAGCTTCTTCCTCTCATTCCTTCGCGCGAATTTCTCTGAAGAATACGACTCTACTTCGGAATTTCCTTTTCCAATGCGCGTCGTTCCGGGCGATGAGCTAATTCAATTTCGTGATTTCCAGCCCCCACTTTAAGTATTTATGGATTACTATGGTGAAATTGGTAGAAGCTGCTCGTTATTACATCCGCCGACGAAATGCTAATTCCCCGACGATACCGTGTTAGCGAAGCGGACTGTAATTCGACAACGAACGGAGATAGATATTGCGTGTCGATAAGGCTGGCTCTCGTGCCATCCCCGATGCCGCGAACGACATTGACATTGCTGATACTGAAAAGGACCTCTTGTTACGTACTTGCCGGCTCACTTGTTTGCCGTTCGCGTACGGACTTCGTCAGCCGCAATCACGCTTAATCATTTTCCTCTTGCCTCCTGCATCCTCCACGTCCGGGATAAAGTCCGTCAAAATAATTTTCGCGTCGGCGTACTTCGTCGTCCGTCAATTACCAATTACTCGAGCAGCAAATAGACTAGTGCGTAGAATTCTGATGGCGGAAGTCGTGAGATAGCAAAGATCCGTCCATTAAAAACGTGACATGCGCTACAGATGAATATTTGCACAAGATTCATCTACAGGTTTAATTCTCTCAATTCCGAGGGATAGTCACACGATTAAAAATGAGTATCTAAATTGTGATAAATTCTTGATTAAGTAAGAAGAAACCTAGTATCTCTTTGCGAGCCTATAGATAATTTTTTAATTAAAATTCAAAATTTATGCAATTTCGACAACAGTAATGTGTGGGAGAAAGCAGGTTTAACTCTTTCAGTTCCGAGAGATAGTCACTCGATTAAAAATAAGTATTTAAAATTGTGATAAATCCTTGCTTAGATAAGAAGACACCTTGCAGAAGTACCCCAGTATCTTTTTGCGAGCCTATAGATAATTCTTTAATTAAAATTCAAAATTTATGCAATATCTCGACAACAGTAATGTATAGGAGGTAGGAATTGACCGCGAAGCATTCAAACAGCCGATTAAGGTCTCTCAAGTACTTGGAATCTGCGGATATCTCGGCTTCGTGCTCGGGGTCGGGTCGGCTGTAACGCGGGTCGGGTTCGGGTCGCAGTACTCGAAACTTTCGGGTTACTCGGCAATATTGCCGACGGACGTCGCGCCCGCGGCAATCCACCGTATTGCTCTTTAAACCACCCCTCTGCGAATCGTTGCGCAGTTTATTTGCAGTAGGCGTTCGAGTCGCTTGCCTCGAAATATACCTCATGATATCGGTGCGTAGATCGAATCGCGGTATATGTACCTATATTTAAGTTATGGCGGACACGTGCGAACGAGATTTCCCACACGATCGCTTAATCTATCTATCAGAATTCCACGTTTTCTCGACGAAAATAGGCCACGTGTGCGTATATCTTGGCACCGTTTCAATTCTTAAATGCAGTGCGACCACCTCTACCGGCTTCTACCTCGATTCACGGTCGGGGCGAGCGTCCAATCGCAATTACCATTGAGTTACCTCCTCAGATGAGTAAATAGGCGGGACCAATAGATATCCCGTCATTCTCGCGGATGAAGAGAATTTCGCGTCCCGGCGTTCAGTGGCACACGAACAGCGCTCGGCGTCGCTCCGATTCTTTCTTTACGTTGAAAACTCAAGTTGTACGATACCGCTATACTGTCGTGTAGGAAGAGAGAAAAACCGAGAGTGTGTGTATTTCCTTTATTTCCACGTGTAATTAATTTAATCTCGTGAGGCAGTTGATACTCTTGTGCGGTACGCGCAAAGGAGCACGCCGATCCTTGCTGCGCTTTTATCCACACGCGCGCGCGCACACACAACAAACACACACACACACACACACACACACACACACACACACACACACACACACCGTCTTAATTCGATCAATCATCGGCAAGTTGGTGAGACATGGTAAATGGAGGCATCCTCGGCTTTGTACTTCGGCCCGCCGGGCTCCTCCGCTATTAAATATCGCGTACGATGTCGCAATTAAGTCGGTCTAGTTTGGAAACAACATCAGTCGAGTTCGCGTCAAAATCAACGGGAATTAATTAATTGAACGAGATTCTAAACGGGTAGATTTTCGTGATCTGTGACGGAAAAAAAAGCAGACGTATACGTGTCGACTCTTTTTTTTTTGTTTTCTTGGCGCAACGCCGATAACGTAAATAAAAAAAGAAGGATCTAAATAAAGATGAGATATCGCGGATCGCAGGGGAGTAATTACGTAGATTGCATCGGTGCGGTGTGAGATATAAGTTTAATCATCGCTAATGCGAGCCCGCGTAGGGATTCGTTCCGCAGAATTTTTGTGAAGGTGTATGCATCTTGTTGCAGGCCGGCGCAATGTGGCCTGGAGTACTACCATTACTGGTGTTACTAGCGGTCCTGCTGCATCCATCGAGGTAGGTTGTGTTTCATTGACGGACGTAAATGAAAACGTTTGGCAAATTGTTATTGGCAGCACGGTCCCCCTCCGCCAAATAAGTTTTGATCGCGCGCTCACAATCAGTCAGCTGTCATGTCGTCTGAATTAATAATAAAACGATTGCGCTTTTGGAACGATGTCAAGACAAGATTCCACGTGAGGGTCTCTGACGATAGAAACATAATTTTGAAAAAGCACGCTTGTGGGTCGTAAAGACGTATGTTATTGACCTACGGGATTATTGTTACGATGCATAAAGTTTACGTACGGAACTAAAGTTTATGAAATGGACCACATCCGCGTGCGCCACATCCGAAATTTTGTATGCCAGACGCGCGAGTGAAATCGCGTGAAATAGAATTTCTAACATAAAAATTTTGGAAGAACGATTTGCGAATGTATTCTTCGCGACAATGCGTATATTTTTTTCTTAAGCTCACGTGAAACGATCTATATATAATTATGACGTCGTCGTTAACACGACGCGTCGGAGTTCAAGATAGAATTCTATTTATAACTTTATGTTATGTCGCGTTGTGTTTATGTTCGTTGTACGAAACACGAAAAATTAAAGAATTTGAATAAACACGCATATAAAATGTATACATTAAAATACAGCAAAATTATAAATAGAACTTCATTCTGAAATTTGACGCGAATTATAAATCATTTAAAACATTCAGATATGTGTTCTCTGTATATTTTTATTTATTTGTGCCGACCAGGGAATTAGAAAAAGAGTTTTGTTCCAGAAAATTAGATTTCTTTTCCTTTATGATGCCGACGATGCCGTTGGTATGTACTTGCAGATGTACGCAGCCAAAAGTGAACTTTCGCGAGAAAGAGAAGCAAGTGCTCGACAACATCCTAGGACCAGGCCGATACGATGCGCGCATCCGGCCGAGCGGAGAGAACGGAACAGGTGAATATAGCGATTCTTGTGCGAGTCCTTATTTACTCCCTCTGCCCATCCTCACCATGTACCGTAATTTTGTACCGACATCTCGCGGCGAATTAGCCGAGAAGTGTTGAATGTAGGGTGGAAAAAAATAAAAGAAAGCGGAAAGAAAAACAGAGGAAACGGGGCAACGGAGAGATACACACGCACGTTCCGGCGAGAAAGGCTCAAGCCCCGCCGAGTGCGGAGAATTGAATGCGCGATGCAAACACGATCTACGTCGTTAATGCGACGCAGACGACGAGCGCGCGAGTTCATTGATAATACGTGATATATACATACATATATATAAATAAATAAATATATATATATATTTATTTATTTACATATATATATACATATATGCATGTATGTATAATAAGCGAGCGAGATGAATTGCGAGAATTTTCCGCACGTCCGTACCGGAGTGAATGCGTACCGAGCGGTGAGAAATTTCTTCATAAACTTCGCGAATGTGAGCGGCGTACTGAACGGCCTCGCGTTCAGAACGAGCCGCAATCGGTCTCGGAAAGTCTCGAGACTTGCTGAACATTATTCGCGATGTTCTTGCGACTGTCTCTTGGATGCATCGTACATTATTTCTTCCCTTTGTTGCGGCATATACTTCCTCTTACTAATGGTTCGGCAAAAATGTGCGAGCAAATTGGGAGATTTTCACAATCAATTTTTCTTATTTAGAAAGTTACGGATTCTATAATATATATTATTCTGTATGCATTTATAATAATAATAATCATTTATAGATATAGGACTTTTAACAATCGGATGGTTACATAAAATATGAAGAAAATAGCTTACGTAAATTTCTATTACATATCGCGATCGATAATAAACATAGGCGATTTCTATTTTTTTACACCATTGCGGGGTCAAATCTTGTATGATAACGAGAGCGCCTTTCCGTGGTGACGACAATGGCAGTGCTTCTCATCTCGGAGTATTTTTCCGAGCTGTGTCTGCGATGCGTAGTTCGATCGAAAATCGTCTTCCAATCTTCTCCACATTACGCGCAAAAAGGTGTATCGATTCCCAATTTTTGTTGTTGTTGCGTTGTGGCAATTTTGAGCCGTGACGCGGCGAGTGGATCGTGGATGGGATTTCGTTGATATCGATCGTCAACTGCATCGTGGCAAATATCGCGATTCCTGCAGTCAGCAGGTCGAGCGGAAGGCAATTCAGAGTACTTTTGGCGTGATAAATAAACGAGGCCAAGAGTAGAGAAATGCGAGCGTTGCCTCTCGTATCGACGAGGGAAACGACCAGGCCGCGTTTATCCGAAACCGAACTAGTTTCTCGAGCTGTACACGGTCAAGTTCAATGATAATCATCAAATGAAACAAATACCACTCGCTCGTGTGTTTATTACGTTCGAATGTTAAAAAGCTGATGACGAATCATCGTCAAATCAGTCGCCGAAGAGAGTCGATAAAACACATTATCTTTCTGCATATTTGCAACACAAAGTGATTGCAACAAAAATGTGAAAATTTTTCCCGTTGCATAAAATTATCTTTCCTCGATGTTTTTAACGCGAAATACGATAACACATGGCATACGTTTTTGTGTTGTACGATTAAATAATGCTGCGTGATAATACTTTCTAGCACAATGCCATTTATCGTTCGTGAAACAGAAGGTAATTAATACAAATGACAAATTTCAGAGAGTACATAGTTACGATTTATCTTCAGAGGCGACGCGATCGACATCGCCGAGGTTCAGAATTTAAATTACGATGGAATTATATCCTCCTTGCAAGCAGGTGTGAAGGTTGGATTAAGTGAATCGTACCGAGCGCAATTACGTGTCGCAGTTAAACGAACGAATACGGTCGGAATGCTCCCTAAGCACGCGCTGGCATGCCTATATATTTCCGTAGGCGTTTACGCATATACTACGTCGCCTGGAAACTCGGAAGAAAACGATTTATATAATTTCTTTATCACCTGTTCATAGGCGTGTCACGCGATATACATTAATAAGGGGGTCTTTAATCATTTTTCCCGCGAGGACTTCGGGGTCGCGGACATCCGCATTTGATCGCGTTCGGCCGTATTATCCGACTGGTGCGGCGCTTAAAAGTCGGATCGCGTGCCTCGGGGGTAAAACGACGCTCGTTAATTTTATCGTTCGAGTATCAGTACCGTGAGTGCGCGCGCGCGTGTTCGCTCGTGAGTTTTTGCCATCGCCGGGTGTGTGCCGGGATGGAAAGGCGGAAATTCATGGCGCTTCGTGCCCCGGCCGCCACTTCTGGAGACGGGCTGGGAGAAGAACATCGTTTCAAGATTGCGCACCCGAGGCGATGCGATTGGATAGGCTGCGATGCGATACGAGGCGATGTGATGCGATACGATACGATGCGATGTGATGCGATGCGATGCAATGCGATGCGAGGATATTAATACACGCTGCCGAGTATCCGTCCTCGGAAACCCGTGCCCCTCCGGGCGTAATTTTGGGGATAGTCGTATGTCCTTCGATCGGATCGATCGCGCATTCGTAATTTCCCCCCCCCCCCCTCTCCCGTCCGTAATCACGGTCGGTTTATCGTCGATGACGTCGCGCGAAGCTAATCGACCATGAGAGCGGTAAACGTGTCGTTTATGACGCGTTCAAGTCCGGGCGTCATGCATTCTCGATCGTCATTTTCCTTCGCTCTTGATCGAGGAGTGAGTGACGTACTTTTCTTTTCCGTTCTCATTCTTGTACGTTTGTCCGAGAACGACTAAAATTTTTCAAATTTGACAAATACTTTTACGTATAAACTTCCTCGAGCTTTCTAGTCGCATACTTGTCGACGAATTGACATGGGATCATATTTGAGTTACGAGTATAACTCAGAATTATTAAACCGTTGATACTGATAAGTTAAAAAATTATATCTACAGTTTTTGCATTTTATGCGGTAAGAAATAACTCTGTTAAAGTCAAAAAGGATATCTGCAATATTTCGTCAATTTTCAAGACTGCATGAATGTTATATATGGTGACTCTAACGCAATAAAACGCGTGTTGACGTCGTGTCAATGTCAAATTTGACATTTTGACTGAAAGAATGGAAAATGGGGTCGTCCGAAAATTATGCGTTTCCATATATCTCTGGGTAGGCGCTAGACAACGATAGATCTGTAATTCATGGGTCTGCGAAATTTATATTTGCGCCCGGCCTACAATTAACATGCTGCAATATGTAATGGCATAATGAATGACATGGTCCCAATATCGATCAAACACACTATTTTCGTTCGCATTGTCCGCCGGCGCGCGCAGCAGCTGATTTATATTACAATCTTGATGAACTGTTGTCGTTTAATCTTTCGCCCAATGTCCTCCATCAGTTAGTACCTGGCGGTACCCGATTTACTTGCGGTAGGGGGCGGACAGGAACTCATTATTAATATTTTAATTGCGTGGGCAAGTAAGAAAAAAACAGGAACAATTGTAACACGCGAAAAGGCATTTTACATACTCTCCTGGACTCACAATCACGTGGGGGTAAATTGATTTAGAAGATTCGAATATACCTCTCTCGCAAAAGGCAACGCTTTATCTTCTTTCAGGAACGAAGCGTCAAATTATATAAAGCCGTCCAAGATTCGCGCATCTGCTAAGTTAGATTAATAAAGTTTGAGTTGATTCTCTCAACGAAACTTGTATTGGAAAATTGAAATACTATTTTTTTTTTAATTTTTTTTGGCATTAATTTAACTAAGTATTACTTTGAGTTTTCGCTTAAGACTCAGATAACTAAACCAGACACTTGAATCCTTTTGGCGAGAGAGAATCAATTGTATTATTGTCTTGATCAGTTATTATTATCTTGGCCGCAGAATATCGCTACGTAATGGAACGCGAGTGGTTTGATACGCGTAACTCGATCCAAACAAATAAGTCATATATAACATTACTTCAATTAGTTTCATCGCGACGTGTTACCGCGATCGTGCCAAAAAGCCAATGTACCCTTGGCTCGCCTTACGAAAATTAAACTTAGGCAAGCATAGATGCGTGGCAGGAAAATGTTGTTATATTAAACCGTCAGTTGCCGTTTGAGAGATAGGATCTAGTCCGGGACATGAGAAGCACAATGGCGGGTCGCCGCATTAGGGGGAGAACATTACGCTATCCGCATACCATACCTATATCCTTTGTGGTCGCGAATTAACTGTATCTTACGCGCGACTCTCCCCTCCTCCCCCTCTTCCGTCTGCAAAACGGTCTGCGAATCTGGGCTGAATACTAACTACCGTATGCGGCGGTAACGAGCGTAAGTGACTTGAAGAAGATTCATAACTGGAATAAGGGAGGGCGAAAAGAAGGGAAATACGGGTGAGCGTGAACGCTAGTAGGAACTGAAGGGAGTTTTGTTGCCGAATTATGAACTACCAGGCGTAATTAATCACGCCAGTCTGTCACACGGTTGAGCTCGCTAGCGGTGGAAGAGAAGGAATTCGTCTTTTCAATCAAATCCGTATAAAGCTGGTCTAGATACGCCAATCATGCGCGTATATAAATGGACGAAATGTCAAGGAAACAGGTGAATATTGTCGTGTATCAAATGAAATTTTGCATCGGGGTTAAAATAATGAATGAAGATTGAATATCACTCTTGACGAGCTATCAAGGGCTCACATTACTCGGTGATTGAATGAAAACTTTTACATAAAGTCGTGTTAAAAGTTTATTTGTACATACGTTATTTATCAATTAACTCTTCACAGAGCGGAAAATTTAGGTTAATTTTAACGCGTTAGTTAACGTTAAATTAAACGCGGCACATTGTAATATGTATGCGAAAACATTATTGCTTTTTCAAATGAAGAGCCCTTTTATTTTCGTTTCCCTTTATTCTCGCATTATACATTTTGTGTGATCAAATTAGCCTTCTTCCAACGCTGATCTCGTGGAGTGGCGAGATAACTCGAGTGCTCTCGATTAAACGAGGAGGGAGAATAAGAAGGTGCGTGAGGGGTTTGGGACGCTGATAAATATTAACCAAATAAAAATCGGATCGATTGAGATAGCGGCGCGTATGTACATATTTACACACGTTCGTGTTTGCATTACGGCTCGATTGTTGTTTCCCGCGATCGAAGGTTAACGGGCGTAGAGTGGAGAACACCCGGCTGCCTGTCGGAACAGGTGTTCATAACGGAAAGAGATCCGCGTAGAGAATGCGATACCGAGAATGAGAGAGCGAGAGAGGGAAAATCGTACGCGCGCGCGGCCCCGATTTGGCCGGAGTCCCTGGCTCGCGATCGGCATGCCGTCCAACGCAGTTATGGGATTTATCCGCGGCCGGATTTGGCAGGCCGCGACCGGATTTCACGTTGGACACCCGCCACGTGGACCGATGGGGATGACGGCGCACCAAATGCGAAATTTCGGTAAAGAGAAGTGTCGTCGGTATCAGACGAGAGGTGACCCCGGGGAAGGACAATTGTGATCGCGTGTAGTTGTCAGCCGCGCACCGATAATCACAATTATCGCACTCCGCACGATCTTCGCCCTGTGCAAACGACAAGTGCACCTTGCAAAACGTACGCGTATACCGCTTTGGCACGCAGAATCATTTTTCACGCGACCCGATTGTTTCACGGCCGCACCGTCACGACAGCCGCGTCGGTCGAGAGATACCGGAAGGAAACGTGCTTCAAACGTCTCGAAATTTCCGCGCGGGAATCTCTTAGAATTCTTAACGCGCACACACGTTTCGCTGAATCGCACGCGTCCGAGTGTATTAGACCGTAGCAATGATCGCTCGATATAACGCTAGATAATGCATTTATCTCACAGTCTAAGGGCTTACCCTGACAGTTTGTGCACCGCACTTCTCATCAAGCTGTCACGAGAGGCGAACGAAAATAATTCTTATCGTGAGATGAATGTCGTGAGATACGTGTGAATCGATTGAGGTTTTAATACTGCTCCAGATTAAAGTCCGCACGCGAGAGCGCCGTGCTCAGGTATGTAATTCACGTGAGTCATGATCCCGCAATTTGTTATCGCGTCATAATTAGGCGACGACAGGAAAAGGACTTTTACACAATTTTCCTCGACGACGCGGTGCTCCGTCGTGCACCTTCCCCCCCTCCCCCGTCCGTTTTTTTCCAATGGGGCTTTCTTCCCGGAACAGTTTCTTTCCAGCGGTTTTTGCTAAATCGCTTTACCTCGGGCCAATCTTCTTCCATGACTTCGCGATTTTTTCGTATCTCGAGTTCTTAAGGTGTCGCCCCTCGAATACGTGATTCCCGTGCTAATCTCTACAGCCGGTCGTCGAGGAAAGTAGGGGTGAAGCGCCTATTAGAACGGTTAACCCTCGATTCTGACACAGTGCCGCGTGACTCGGATCTCAATCGAGTTTCGACGACGTAAACACTGATTCGAGGCGGACTCACTCTCGATCATTCCGCACCTGTTCCTTGGAACAGCCCTTCGAACCGCATCGAGAGACTCGATGGAAATCGCTTAAATAATAACCGACGCACGCGGTAAAAGATAATGTCGGACGCATTCCAGTAGAGTATGTAAGCCACCAAAAATGCTGATTCACTAAAAGGGAGCTGTATTGTTTTTGCCCTTAGATGGGCCGGCCATTGTCCGGGTAAACCTGTTTGTGCGAAGCATTGCGACAATTAGTGACATCAAGATGGTAAGTATATATATAAACGCTAATAACACAATCAAACAAAGCCTTTTGAAACCGCAACTGGCCGCAACTCGCCGTTTCTTCTCTTGCCGACGCGATTAACCTCCCCCCGCTCCCCTTTCTTTATTTGTATCTGTCACTTTGCAATAACGCAGTAGGCGCAAAAGTAGGTTTTACGTAGGCGGTCTTGATCTCGAAATCAGAGTGTGCCCGTGTGCATTTGCGTGCGTGCAGTGTTTGTGTGAGAACGAAAGAGCGGAAATCTCAGTGGGAGAGGAAGAAAATCCAGCAGCAACCGGATGACGGCGGAGAGAGAGAGAGAGAAAGAGAGAGAGAGAGAGAGAGAGAGAGAGAGAGCGCTTGATTCTTTCTTCCGGAGAAACCAGACAGGCTGACAAAAGCGGTAGCAGCAACACACGCAACATAGTAGAGAGCAGCAACGTAGCAGAGTGCCGGTCAGCAACAGCATCTTGTCCTCCTTCACCCCACGCTCTTTTGCCCCCTAGCCTCCCCCCGTCCCCTTCGCCCTAACCCTTTCGCCTCGTCTTGCCTCGCCTCGCCTCGCCTCGTTGCTGCTAGCCACCATCGCTAGCAGCCTCTTCTCGAGGGAACATCCACACGGACCGACCACCGCTACCACGCCATCACCACTACCTTTGACCAAAGCGCCCGAGAAACCTCACCTCATCCCAGAAACTCCCCCCCCCTCCCCAGAAACTTTAGCACTCTATAGCATAGACGCAGGCATGTGGCATTCCAGCTTATATACATTTTGCGTATGTTAGTTACGTCGCATTTGGACGAACCCATCGGACGGACGAGGAGTGGCCGAACGAAAGGGGCGACACCCCGAATCGAGTTTGCGGAGGTGCGGACGGGGAGGAGAGTCGAGGGTTACACGATTTAACGCTCGGATCTCGCGCGGACCTCCGACGTACCGACCACAGGTCGTTAGTTTTTTTTTTTTTTTTTTTGCGGTCTCCTGTAACTGCCGCGTTGATCATTGAACCGTCGTACAGCGGGGCCGCGTACCTCAATCCGAGTAACAGGCTACCGGAGAGAGATCCCGTCCCAAAAGTAATCTTATTTCTCCCGGTCTCCCTCGTTATTGCGGGGCGGGGCGAGCTGTATCTGAGTTCTGAGTGCGCGACACGTGGAGCTAAGACGACGGCGCCGTCTCTCTCCACGAAGATTTTTCTAAGCTGAAGATGAGAGAGGAAAGAAAAAGGAGAAATTCATAGAGACCCGGTAGGACGTGGCGTAGACATCTGTCAGGCTGTTATGTTGTTCGGAAAACTCCTCGCAATGCTCGACGCGATTTCGCGAAAGGACGATCGGCCGGCCCTCGTTGTACCCCGTCGAAAGAGGGAGAGAGAGAGAGAGAGAGAGAGAGAGAGAGAGAGAAAGATGGAGAGAGGGAGAGAGAGGGTGCAGAGCGAAACTTGTGTTTCACAATGGGTAACGAGATTACATGTACCACCGGGGCCGCTCGGGCCGCACGGAAATGCACGTCGAGAAGTTACATCGGGAGTGCGTTCCGGCACTCTCGTTCGTTCCGTACTAGGTTTACCGTCAGGAAGGCCTTTTCGTGTTCGACCTCTTCTCGTGTAAAAGCACGCGCTGCTCGCAACGCTCGCCAGATCAAAGAGTGATTTCACGAAGGTACGATCGATCGGGGTCTGGAGTACTGTACAGGGCATTTCCGGGGAACGCTTGGCTTTAATTTTTATGGCGAAATCATCGACAGATCCGGGGAGGAAGGACATTACTTATTCCGATACGAGCTCCTCTTTAAAAACACTAGAATCTATTAATACATTAATAAATTAAATAGCGTGAAGGCGATATTGAATTTAGATTGTGTCCTGTACTGTGTGTGCCAGATTCGGTCGATTGTGTGTGCGTCTTACGAAAATTCGCAAACATTTTCCTGCACATGACGTAAATAATTAAATTTTAAATGTCAGCGTCGCTCCCTGTAGCGCGGAAAGCTTCATTCCCGTTTATTTTCTTGCACAAAGAACACGTTGCTTACGGTCAAAGTACAAGCGAGTCGATCCACTTTATGCCAATTGCTTTACGACAAGAGAGAATTTATCACCAAAACTTTGGGTACGCTTAAATTCTACCCCGGATTTCGAAACTTCGACTTCTCGGACATCCAATAACACAAGTATTGATATCGCTCGATACTTTCGCAGGTGATAACCAAAGGAAAGTTTCTACAATGACGAAAGTCTAGCAAGAATCTTATTGCAATCAATAAGATCTGATATATATATTATAAAAATATTTAAGTTACATACATTATTTAATGTAATTTATTAATTGCAGCGATATTTTGACAATATTATCGAGTTGAGTTATAAACAGCTTTCGACTTTGCAGATAACTAACATTTGTTTTTCGCTTTGTTCTGCGCTTTAAATGACTCAATGAGCCCCTGTAACAATCGCTACTAATGAATTATTTAGGGTATTCAAGTAGAAAAGAAATAAATACTAATTATTATCTGTGCCTATGGCTGGGTCTTATGAAATGCTATAAAAATAGTATCTTCTTTGTCAGAATGTGACGATTTTTTAGAACGAGCGTTTATTTTTACTCCGTGCGCGGGGTTTCGAGTGCGAGAACGCCTTGAACTTGGAGCATTCGTGGCTTCCGAAGAGAGGAGCTCGGATACTCGTGACATTTCCTGCTTTGCGCGTTTTATATGGCAAGATCACGGATTTAAAAAGTCGAGGCGACACTGACGACGACTATGACGATGATCATGACCATGACGACGACGAAGACGATGACGACGACGACGACGACGACGACGACGACGATGACGACGACGATGACGGCGAGCACTGCGTGTCCGACGTCTTGTCCTGGTTCATGTAGGGCGGAATGGTACGCAAACACTCTGTATGGCTCAGGACGATACGGCTGGCTCGTTCATGCTGCTGCGGACCAGAGAGTTAGACTTCCGATAGTGACGACGATGACATAACGAGGGAATGCATCGCCGCCGATCGTGTGATGCCGACACCGACGTTCGCCGGCGTTTAAACGCGGTTAAACCACTGATAATGACGATACCGCCGCCAGCTGCTAATCGCTCTTCCGATAGCTGTCGATTGCCCGCCGGCTGTTTTGCTTTACAGTCTGCACCGGTCTGTGGATTGAAATAAGACGCAATCCAATCTTCGCGAAAATTAGTCGGATCGATATGGGGCGATATATGTATATGCAGATTAAAATTAGAAAAACAGTCGACTTATTAATCCTTGTCGCTGTGTATAATTTTGTTACCTGAAACTAACGGGCGCAACCTTCTGCGTTGAAACGAAAGCATCTCGAAACGTGATACGGCGATGAGAATAGTTTTCTCCCTGTGGAGGTGAGGCTGTATATACTATTCTCGGAATAATTTATAAATCCTATCCGGGGAAATAAATCAGTTATCAGCAACCGATTGAGACATCTCCGCTCGCGGATTGCGTGTTACTCCCGTACCAACATCCGTCACGCCCGCGCGTTTTCCGACCGCCGCGTGACGCCGACGGCGCCGTTTCACGGCGTCAATTCCTAATATCGTTAAATGTCGCGTAACTTCGACGACGATTGACGTGCGAAGGCGTTCAACGTCTCGCTGTTGACGCCGTTCGTCGACACGGATGGGAGGTGGGCTTCTCGTCACCCCGAGGGGGCTTCGAACAATGCGTCTTCGCGAGCGCGGAAATCGCGCGGTCGCGGAACGCGCGCGTCACAACCCGCGCGTTATATTCGCCGCGCGCGCGTTTTTTGTGCGTGAGCGTTCAAAGGACGGGCCGCGCGGTAGTCTCGCTTTGACACTAATCGGACCGTGATGGCGACATGGAAATTTCGTTCGATAATATCGCACGGGAGTTGCAAAGCAGGGACGGAGCGGCACTCCAGGTTTTCTGCCGTTTCGAGCAAAGAAATCCCGGCGAGGCCTCTCGTCTCCCTGCCACGGAGATATCCTTTTTTTTTCCTTTCATTTTTATTCGCGTCTATAGCGCGCGTCAATTTTTTTCCCGAAGCTCTTGTTTCACGTATGTATGTATGTTATGTATAAAAGAGAGATGATCGAAACGCGTCGTTCAAGCAAACGAAGTTCCATACCGTCCCTCGCGGCATGAATATTTTCATCGGGTCTACATCTCTCGTTCTGTGATAGAGTTCTGCGTATTCGTTCTGTATAGAGTTTTCCGAGATTTTTGTGCTTTAGGGAATTTTCGAGTAAAAAAAGAATCGCAGGCAAAATCCGTTTCTGCGAATACACGTTTCGGTTACGTAGAACCGCGCGCGCGCTTTGTCGGATCGCGAAGTACCTCCGATTCGTCCCCGAGATCGGCTTAAATTCGACATTATCGCGCGGCACACGTCGCGTCGCTCGGAGATACGTCCCGACGACGATGGCGACGGCGGCGGCGGCGGCCGCGGTGGCGGCGGCAGTCGGTGGTTGTCATCGATTTTTCATCGCGCGTTTCCGCTTATCCGATCTTTCATATTTCAACCGCGCGCTCGATTGTATGCCGGCGCGGCACACAATTTATTTAGCTTCCGTTGATCCGTATCTCGTGATTCGCGTCGTTCGTCCCCGCGTGTATCGATTATCCCCGACGCCGGCTATTACCTCCGGGGAGCAGCGCGCGCGAGTATTCCGTGCGAGTAAACAGGGGTGGCTGTACAGGGGAAAATTCGTTTCGCGGTATCGCGCGACCGATATTCGCGTAGAATTCCACGGAACAACGTTCGCGTACCCCTCCCGTCGCCCATCCCGAGCCGTGCATTATTTCCGCGGTCGCGATTCCTCAATGAGCGAGGCGTTTCCCGCTCCCGCGGAAAAATCGGGTAAGTCGATCCAGGGAAAATCCACTCGATAACGACGAGTAGGAAACGAAGAAAACGAATAGGAAGGACACGCTTTATCACGGTCTATGGAGCCTGAATTTACTGAATGCAAATTCCCCTCTCCATGCGATCGTAAG